CGTTGATGAGAGATGTAGCACTGTGAGGGTTGATGACCTAGTCTCAAAAGATCGAGTCTTCACATGTCTAAGAGGCTTAACCAAGTTAGAGGTTTCTGGATTTCGATGCCCACTCTTTTGACAAACTCTTTTGGCTGCAAAGCTAATCTCGTGCTGGTTTTGAGGCCGACGGTCGGGCAGACATGAAGAATCTCCTCGGAGGAAAAGGTGCAAATCTCGCTGAAATGGCCTCCATCGGATTGCCTGTGCCGCCCGGATTCACTCTCACCACAGAGGTCTGCACTCACTTCTACCAGAACGACTGCCAGTATCCTAAGGAGCTTGAACAACAGGCGCTTCTGACCGACAGACGGTCGTTTGCTTTTTACTCGCCACGGTGTGTGCAGGTTGTGATTTGAGATTAACTTGAGACATGAGTGACGGCAAAGACATGTGTTCTCTTGCCGCGGTGCATCAAATAAGATATGGTAACGACATTTAAATATGTGGAGGGCAGGCGAGACCACAAGATCCACAAGGCCCCGGAGGTAGTATGAAATACCAGTTCCATCCATTGATTTAAATGTATGTTTAAATAAATTGGATTCCGTATGTTTAAAGCATTCGAAGTTCATCCTGGTTCAGGTGGAGAAAGCATTGAATTTGGTCGAGAGCCGCACTGGACGCAAATTCGGTGACTCCACGAACCCACTGCTCGTGTCCGTGCGCTCTGGGGCACGTGCATCCATGCCAGGACACTGGTTGAATGAACATCTTGGCAAGAGATTCTCTTTCGTACTGAGTATATCCAGTTGGATGAAATTACAGAGAAACCGCACTTGGAAATGGATTCTTCAAGATTCTTCGTGTTTTTCTTCTCTTTCCAGATGATAGGAATGATGGATACAGTCCTGAATTTGGGACTCAACGACACGACAGTGGAGGCTTTGGCCAAGAAGTCCGGTGACCGTCGCTTTGCCTTTGACAGCTACAGGCGCTTTGTGCAGATGTATTCGGACGTTGTCCTTGGCATTGAGATCAACCACTTCGAGAAGCACTTGGAGCGTGCGAAAGAGAAGCGCGGCGTCAAGCAGGAGAATGGGTTGGAAGGGTCGGAACATTCGTGTTTTTTTTTTTAATGGTCTTGTCGCTATGTCAAAACTTTCTCTTTTTGTTTTTGTGTGGACTCTTGGACTTTACTTGGGGTGACCGCTGACCTCACAACTTTCACATGATTTCCACCCCTTTCCACTTACTTTACGTCCTTCACATCTTTGATCTTGAGTGAAATCATCCCCTGCAGGACTGTGAGTTGCTTCCAGAGGATTTGGAGAAGCTGGTCAAGTCTTACAAAGCTGTGGTCCAGTTGGAGCTTGGCGAGGAGTTCCCAGAGGATCCAAAAGCACAGCTTTGGGGAGCCGTTGGTGCAGTCTTCAATTCCTGGATGAATCAGCGTGCAAAGACGTACAGGCACTTGGTGATCCAAAGATTCAAACATGTTAAAACTTCAAACCTTACACTCCCTTAAAAGATACGTGTGTCAAGCTTGAAGAGTCATGGATGATTTGGTTTCCACTTACCCATGCAATTCTCTTTGGGGTTGGTGATGAATCTAGCCAAGGTTCTCTGTGTATTGGTTGTGTGAGTTGCAGTTTCGTTTCCATCTGTTTTCCATGGGAAGAAACGAGAATGAGACTAAGATTCGTTACATACGTTTGTATCCTCTTGTGATGGTTTGGCGAGGTCCTTGCACGACATCCCGGAGTGGTGGGGCACCGCTGTGAACGTGCAAGCCATGGTCTTCGGAAACATGGGCAATGACTGTGCCACTGGTGTTGCTTTCACTCGTGATCCTTCCACAGGAAAGAACGAGTTCTACGGTGAATTTTTGGTAAATGCTCAGGGTGAAGATGTCGTCGCAGGCATCCGCACTCCGCAAGAGCTTACCATCAGGGCTCGCCAGTCTCATGGCTCCGATTTACCATCCTTGGAAGAAGTGATGCCAAACATCTTCCGCGAGTTGCTCTCAGTGCGCAGCCAGCTCGAGACTCACTACAAGGACATGCAAGATATCGAGTTTACCATCCAACAAGGCAAACTCTACATGTTGCAGACCCGCAATGGCAAGCGAACAGCTCCTGCTGCCCTGCAGATTGCCGTGGACATGGCCAGTGAAGGCTTGATCACCAAGTCGCAAGCCCTTCTGAGTTTGAAGCCAGATTTGATCGACCAGCTCTTGCACCCTACTCTGGACCCCAAGGCCAAGAAGGAGATCATTGCCAAGGGCCTTCCTGCCTCTCCTGGTGCAGCGGGTGGCAAGGTTTCTTCGATCAAAACATGACCAGCCTTTACCTTGCAATGGGTTGATGAGACATGTGATCAATTGATATGAATTGGTGGGGTCTTTGATTTCTATTGTTGACCTTTCATTTAGCCAAGATATCCAGCCCACCCCCGTGTCTTTTTATTTCTACTACGTACACCTCCCTTGTGAGATTCTGATTTGAGATGTCGAGTTTGGACGGGTAGCTGAGGTTGTCTTCTCGGCTGATGAAGCTGTGCGACGATGCAAAGATGGCGAAAAGGTGATCCTGGTTCGTATTGAGACAAGCCCAGATGACATCCACGGTCTGCATGCGGCAGAGGGAGTTCTGACCACCAGAGGCAGGGTTCTCTGGAACTGCCTAAAATAATCTAAAGAGTGTATGGGCTTCCTGAAACCAGCAAAATTTCTGGAGAAGACAATGCAAAGTAAGACAATGCAACGTGGTGTTTGTGAAACTGCAACGAATTTGATTTTGACCGCTGACAGGTGGTATGACCAGCCATGCGGCAGTGGTTGCTCGTGGAATGGGACGGCCATGTGTGGCTGGTGCGGGCAGCATCACTGTGGACTATGCAGCGGCCAAGCTCACTGTGGGATCTGTGACTGTGACTGAAGGACAGATCCTCACCATCGATGGAAGCAAAGGAGAGGTGATGGTGGGAGAGGTTCCAACAGTGCTTTGGCGGCACATGTCGAACGATTTCTGATTTATGTTTGTTAAATGTTAGTGATGTTCAAGGATGTTCAAGGATGTTCAATGATGTTATATGATGCTCAATGATGTCCAATGCTACGCTGACTCTGATGTTTTGCTTCAGTTTGAGCTCTGTCCTTTCCAACTTACCCCACATTTGAGGTGCCACCACAGCTTTCCGGATCCTTCGGAACCATCATGCAGTGGGCTGATGAAGTCCGTGACATGAAAGTCGTGAGCTCAGCAGAAGCTTCCACTCATCCTGATGCACTTCGAGTTGCAAAGCAAGTTCGCAGATTTCGTGTGACCATCACGTGACCCTGATGTTGATTGATGTGCTGATTTGCTTCATCGTTTCAGCATGTTTCAGTGATACATCATAGAATCTGAGGTCCGAGCCAATGCCGAGACCCCTGCTGATGCTCGACAAGCCAAGGAATTCGGTGCCGAGGGCATTGGCCTTGTCCGCACTGAGCACATGTTCTTCGAAGGACAGCGAATTGTAGCCATGAGGCAGATGATCTTGGCCACTGATGAGGCTGATCGACGACAGGCCTTGGACAAGTTGTTGGTCATGCAGAGGGAGGACATCACGGAACTGTTCCGAATCATGGACGGCAATCCAGTGACGGTCCGTCTGTTGGATCCACCGCTGCATGAATTCATCCCCCACACGGAGGCAGAAATGGCATTGGTGGCCAAAGCTGCAGGTGTACCTTTGGATCGCGTGAGAAGACGTGCTGCAGAGCTGCAGGAGGCCAACCCCATGCTTGGCCATCGTGGCTGCCGATTGGCCATCACCTATCCCGAGATTTGCGAGATGCAGGCACGAGCCATTTTTGAGGCTGCAGCTGAAGTGGGGCGAAGCTCCAAGAAATTGCCAGTGGCAGAAGTCATGGTGCCACTTGTGGCAACAGTTGAAGAACTGAAGCTGTTGAAGGGTGTCATTGAGAAGACTGCCGATGCTGTGAAGAAGGAGCAAGGAATCACTTTCACCTACAAGATTGGCACTATGATCGAGCTTCCACGTGCAGCCCTGCAAGCGGGCCGTTTGGCAGAAATGGCTGAGTTCTTCAGCTTTGGCACCAATGACTTGACCCAGACCACCTATGGCTTGAGCCGAGATGATGCTGGCTCCTTCTTGCCAGAGTACAAGGCCAAGGGCATTGTGGAGCACGATCCTTTTGTGAGCTTGGATCCTGACGGTGTTGGCGAGTTGATCACCATGGCCGTTCAGCGTGGTCGTAGCACCAGGCCAGAAATGAAGATGGGCATTTGCGGTGAGCACGGTGGAGATCCAGCCTCCATTGAGGTCTGCGAGAAGATCGGCCTGGACTACGTGAGTTGCTCGCCCTTCAGAGTTCCTGTTGCACGACTCGCAGCAGCTCAGTCTGCTCTGAAGACAAAGGGTGAGCCAACAAAGCAGAGCTCCACAAAGAAAACCAAGCCTCGGGTGCAGAATTTTGGCCCTTGGTGAGCTAGAAATTGGCATGTGCAGATTGTGCAGATTGCGCAGATTTGAAAACTGTTTAAATTCGTTTTGATCAATTCAGATCGACGTCATGCGTGACACACTTCTTGTAGTTTGTACCAAGTACATGCACAAGGCATGGGCTGACAACAAGTCACCAAAAGCCGTTTCTGCGAGCACCATTTTGGCAACGAGGAATTTCGTTCTGTTGCCGTTTCGTGCTTGCATTTAAGAAATTTCAAAGAAGGTGCTGCAAGGAACTTCCAACAGGAAGGTTTGTGGCTTTACTCGACGAAAAAGGGTATGATGCAAGCAGCAGTGGCGGAGGGCTGTGCATTTTTTCCTGTATTTTTGTCCAGATTTTTCCTTATTTTCTTTCCAGGGAAACACCGAGACTGAGTGAAAGTCTTTCATGATCGATGATGTAGAACCAATCACTTTGACTGCCGCACCGACTTTGGTGAACATCTGTCAAATCATTTCATTTGCTGAGTCAGGTCACTTGAGCCATGAGCCAATAAGGTGCTTGCAGCTGCATTTGAGGCTGAAGAGTTCAGAAAGTAGCCCTTGGCTTTTGCGTTCGCCATGGCAAAGTGGGTTTACGACTTCGGAGATGGCAAGGCGAGATATTTTTTGAAGTTGATGAGAGATGTGACACTGTGAGGGTTGATGACCTAGTCTCAAAAGATCGAGTCTTCACATGTCTAAGAGGCTTAACTAAGTTAGAGGTTTCTGGATTTCGATGCCCACTCTTTTGACAAACTCTTTTGGCTGCAAAGCTAATCTCGTGCTGGTTTTGAGGCCGACGGTCGGGCAGACATGAAGAATCTCCTCGGAGGAAAAGGTGCAAATCTCGCTGAAATGGCCTCCATCGGATTGCCTGTGCCGCCCGGATTCACTCTCACCACAGAGGTCTGCACTCACTTCTACCAGAACGACTGCCAGTATCCTAAGGAGCTTGAACAACAGGCGCTTCTGACCGACAGACGGTCGTTTGCCTTTTTCTCGCCACGGTGTGTGCAGGTTGTGATTTGAGATTAACTTGAGACATGAGTGACGGCAAAGACATGTGTTCTCTTGCCGCGGTGCATCAAATAAGATATGGTAACGACATTTAAATATGTGGAGGGCAGGCGAGACCACAAGATCCACAAGGCCCCGGAGGTAGTATGAAATACCAGTTCCATCCATTTATTTAAATGTATGTTTAAATAAATTGGATTCCGTATGTTTGAAGCATTCGAAGTTCATCCTGGTTCAGGTGGAGAAAGCATTGAATTTGGTCGAGAGCCGCACTGGACGCAAATTCGGTGACTCCACGAACCCACTGCTCGTGTCCGTGCGCTCTGGGGCACGTGCATCCATGCCAGGACACTGGTCGAATGAACATCTTGGCAAGAGATTCTCTTTCGTACTGAGTATATCCAGTTGGATGAAATTACAGAGAAACCGTACTTGGAAATGGATTCTTCAAGATTCTTCGTGTTTTTCTTCTCTTTCCCTGGACTTCATTCTACAGTATTGTATTGGCTCTTTGAAGGAAATAAATGAAACCAGAGTTGCACATGCCGTGCTTGCAACAGATGACAGGAATGATGGATACAGTCCTGAATTTGGGACTCAACGACACGACAGTGGAGGCTTTGGCCAAGAAGTCCGGTGACCGTCGCTTTGCCTTTGACAGCTACAGACGCTTTGTGCAGATGTATTCGGACGTTGTCCTTGGCATTGAGATCAACCACTTCGAGAAGCACTTGGAGCGTGCGAAAGAGAAGCGCGGCGTCAAGCAGGAGAATGGGTTGGAAGGGTCGGAACATTCGTGTTTTTTAATGGTCTTGTCGCTATGGCAAGACTTTCTCTTTTTGTTTTTGTGTGGACTCTTGGACTTTTCTTGGGGTGACCGCTGACCTCGCGACTTTCATATGATTTCCACCTCTTTCCACTGACTTTACGTCCTTCAATCTCATCTTTCATCTTGAGTGAAATCATCCCCTGCAGGACTGTGAGTTGCTTCCAGAGGATTTGGAGAAGCTGGTCAAGTCTTACAAAGCCGTGGTCCAGTTGGAGCTTGGCGAGGAGTTCCCAGAGGATCCAAAAGCACAGCTTTGGGGAGCCGTTGGTGCAGTCTTCAATTCCTGGATGAATCAGCGTGCAAAGACGTACAGGCACTTGGTTATCCAAAGATTCAAACATGTTAAAACTTCAAGAAAGAACCAAACCTTACACTCCCTTAAAAGATACGTGTGTCAAGCTTGAAGAGTCATGGATGATTTGGTTTCCACTTACCCATGCAATTCTCTTTGGGGTTGGTGATGAATCTAGCCAAGGTTCTCTGTGTATTGGTCGCGTGAGTTTGTTGAATGTCCGTGTTTCAACATAACTTGCAATATCTTTTCCATCTGTTTTCCGTGGAAAGAAACGAACATGAGACTAAGATTCGTTACATACGTTTGTATCCTCTTGTGATGGTTTGGCGAGGTCCTTGCACGACATCCCGGAGTGGTGGGGCACCGCTGTGAACGTGCAAGCCATGGTCTTCGGAAACATGGGCAATGACTGTGCCACTGGTGTTGCTTTCACTCGTGATCCTTCCACAGGAAAGAACGAGTTCTACGGTGAATTTTTGGTAAATGCTCAGGGTGAAGATGTCGTCGCAGGCATCCGCACTCCGCAAGAGCTTACCATCAGGGCTCGCCAGTCTCATGGCTCCGATTTACCATCCTTGGAAGAAGTGATGCCAAACATCTTCCGCGAGTTGCTCTCAGTGCGCAGCCAGCTCGAGACTCACTACAAGGACATGCAAGATATCGAGTTTACCATCCAACAAGGCAAACTCTACATGTTGCAGACCCGCAATGGCAAGCGAACAGCTCCTGCTGCCCTGCAGATTGCCGTGGACATGGCCAATGAAGGCTTGATCACCAAGTCGCAAGCCCTTCTGAGTTTGAAGCCAGATTTGATCGACCAGCTCTTGCACCCTACTCTGGACCCCAAGGCCAAGAAGGAGATCATTGCCAAGGGCCTTCCTGCCTCTCCTGGTGCAGCGGGTGGCAAGGTTTCTTCGATCAAAACATGACCAGCCTTTACCTTGCAATGGGTTGATGAGACATGTGATCAATTGATATGAATTGGTTGGGTCTTTGATTTTATTGTTGACCTTTCATTTAGCCAAGATATCCAGCCCACCCCCGTGTCTTTTTATTTTTACTACGTACATCTCCCTTGTGTGATTCTGATTTGAGATGTCGAGTTTGGACGGGTAGCTGAGGTTGTCTTCTCGGCTGATGAAGCTGTGCGACGATGCAAAGATGGCGAAAAGGTGATCCTGGTTCGTATTGAGACAAGCCCAGATGACATCCACGGTCTGCATGCGGCAGAGGGAGTTCTGACCACCAGAGGCAGGGTTCTCTGGAACTGCCTAAAATAATCTAAAGAGTGCATGGGCTTCGTGAAACCAGCAAAAATTCTGGAGAAGACAATGCAAAGTAAGACAATGCAACGTGGTGTTTGTGAAACTGCAACGAATTTGATTTTGACCGCTGACAGGTGGTATGACCAGCCATGCGGCAGTGGTTGCTCGTGGAATGGGACGGCCATGTGTGGCTGGTGCGGGCAGCATCACTGTGGACTATGCAGCGGCCAAGCTCACTGTGGGATCTGTGACTGTGACTGAAGGACAGATCCTCACCATCGATGGAAGCAAAGGAGAGGTGATGGTGGGAGAGGTTCCAACAGTGCTTTGGCGGCACATGTCGAACGATTTCTGATTTATGTTTGTTAAATGTTGATGTTCAAGGATGTTCAAGGATGTTCAATGATGTTATATGATGCTCAATGATGTCCAATGCTACGCTGACTCTGATGTTTTGCTTCAGTTTGAGCTCCGTCCTTTCCAACTTACCCCACATTTGAGGTGCCACCACAGCTTTCCGGATCCTTCGGAACCATCATGCAGTGGGCTGATGAAGTCCGTGACATGAAAGTCGTGAGCTCAGCAGAAGCTTCCACTCATCCTGATGCACTTCGAGTTCAAAGCAAGTTTGCAGATTTCGTGTGACCATCACGTGACCCTGATGTTGATTGATGTGCTGATTTGCTTCATCGTTTCAGCATGTTTCGGTGATACATCATATAATCTGAGGTCCGAGCCAATGCCGAGACCCCTGCTGATGCTCGACAAGCCAAGGAATTCGGTGCCGAGGGCATTGGCCTTGTCCGCACTGAGCACATGTTCTTCGAAGGACAGCGAATTGTAGCCATGAGGCAGATGATCTTGGCCACTGATGAGGCTGATCGACGACAGGCCTTGGACAAGTTGTTGGTCATGCAGAGGGAGGACATCACGGAACTGTTCCGAATCATGGACGGCAATCCAGTGACGGTCCGTCTGTTGGATCCACCGCTGCATGAATTCATCCCCCACACGGAGGCAGAAATGGCATTGGTGGCCAAAGCTGCAGGTGTACCTTTGGATCGCGTGAGAAGACGTGCTGCAGAGCTGCAGGAGGCCAACCCCATGCTTGGCCATCGTGGCTGCCGATTGGCCATCACCTATCCCGAGATTTGCGAGATGCAGGCACGAGCCATTTTTGAGGCTGCAGCTGAAGTGGGGCGAAGCTCCAAGAAATTGCCAGTGGCAGAAGTCATGGTGCCACTTGTGGCAACAGTTGAAGAACTGAAGCTGTTGAAGGGTGTCATTGAGAAGACTGCCGATGCTGTGAAGAAGGAGCAAGGAATCACTTTCACCTACAAGATTGGCACTATGATCGAGCTTCCACGTGCAGCCCTGCAAGCGGGCCGTTTGGCAGAAATGGCTGAGTTCTTCAGCTTTGGCACCAATGACTGGACCCAGACCACCTATGGCTTGAGCCGAGATGATGCTGGCTCCTTCTTGCCAGAGTACAAGGCCAAGGGCATTGTGGAGCACGATCCTTTTGTGAGCTTGGATCCTGACGGTGTTGGCGAGTTGATCACCATGGCCGTTCAGCGTGGTCGTAGCACCAGGCCAGAAATGAAGATGGGCATTTGCGGTGAGCACGGTGGAGATCCAGCCTCCATTGAGGTCTGCGAGAAGATCGGCCTGGACTACGTGAGTTGCTCGCTCTTCAGAGTTCCTGTTGCACGACTCGCAGCAGCTCAGTCTGCTCTGAAGACAAAGGGTGAGCCAACAAAGCAGAGCTCCACAAAGAAAACCAAGCCTCGGGTGCAGAATTTTGGCCCTTGGTGAGCTAGAAATTGGCATGTGCAGATTGTGCAGATTGCGCAGCGTTGAAAACTGTTTAAATTCGTTTTGATCAATTCAGATCGACGTCATGCGTGAGACACTTCTTGTAGTTTGTACCAAGTACATGCACAAGGCATGGGCTGACAACAAGTCACCAAAAGCCGTTTCTGCGAGCACCATTTTGGCAACGAGGAATTTCGTTCTGTTGCCGTTTCGTGCTTGCATTTAAGAGATTTCAAAGAAGGTGCTGCAAGGAACTTCCAACAGGAAGGTTTGTGGCTTTACTCGACGAAAAAGGGTATGATGCAAGCAGCAGTGGCGGAAGGCTGTGCATTTTTTCCTGTATTTTTGTCCAGATTTTTCCTGATTTTCTTTCCAGGGAAACACCGAGACTGAGTGAAAGTCTTTCATGATCCATGAGGTCGAGCCAATCACTTTGACTGCCGCACCGACTTTGGTGAACATCTGTCAAATCATTTCATTTGCTGAGTCAGGTCACTTGAGCCATGAGCCAATAAGCTGCTTGCAGCTGCATTTGAGGCTGAAGAGTTCAGAAAGTAGCCCTTGGCTTTTGCGTTCGCCATGGCAAAGTGGGTTTACGACTTCGGAGATGGCAAGGCGAGATGTTTTTTGACGTTGATGAGAGATGTAGCACTGTGAGGGTTGATGACCTAGTCTCAAAAGATCGAGTCTTCACATGTCTAAGAGGCTTAACCAAGTTAGAGGTTTCTGGATTTCGATGCCCACTCTTTTGACAAACTCTTTTGGCTGCAAAGCTAATCTCGTGCTGGTTTTGAGGCCGACGGTCGGGCAGACATGAAGAATCTCCTCGGAGGAAAAGGTGCAAATCTCGCTGAAATGGCCTCCATCGGATTGCCTGTGCCGCCCGGATTCACTCTCACCACAGAGGTCTGCACTCACTTCTACCAGAACGACTGCCAGTATCCTAAGGAGCTTGAACAACAGGCGCTTCTGACCGACAGACGGTCGTTTGCTTTTTACTCGCCACGGTGTGTGCAGGTTGTGATTTGAGATTAACTTGAGACATGAGTGACGGCAAAGACATGTGTTCTCTTGCCGCGGTGCATCAAATAAGATATGGTAACGACATTTAAATATGTGGAGGGCAGGCGAGACCACAAGATCCACAAGGCCCCGGAGGTAGTATGAAATACCAGTTCCATCCATTGATTTAAATGTATGTTTAAATAAATTGGATTCCGTATGTTTAAAGCATTCGAAGTTCATCCTGGTTCAGGTGGAGAAAGCATTGAATTTGGTCGAGAGCCGCACTGGACGCAAATTCGGTGACTCCACGAACCCACTGCTCGTGTCCGTGCGCTCTGGGGCACGTGCATCCATGCCAGGACACTGGTTGAATGAACATCTTGGCAAGAGATTCTCTTTCGTACTGAGTATATCCAGTTGGATGAAATTACAGAGAAACCGGACTTGGAAATGGATTCTTCAAGATTCTTCGTGTTTTTCTTCTCTTTCCCTGGACTTCATTCTACAGTATTGTATTGGCTCATTTGAAGGAAATAGATGAAACCAGAGTTGCACATGCCGTGCTTGCAACAGATGACAGGAATGATGGATACAGTCCTGAATTTGGGACTCAACGACACGACAGTGGAGGCTTTGGCCAAGAAGTCCGGTGACCGTCGCTTTGCCTTTGACAGCTACAGACGCTTTGTGCAGATGTATTCGGACGTTGTCCTTGGCATTGAGATCAACCACTTCGAGAAGCACTTGGAGCGTGCGAAAGAGAAGCGCGGCGTCAAGCAGGAGAATGGGTTGGAAGGGTCGGAACATTCGTGTTTTTTTTTTTTTTTAATGGTCTTGTCGCTATGGCAAGACTTTCTCTTTTTGTTTTTGTGTGGACTCTTGGACTTTTCTTGGGGTGACCGCTGACCTCACGACTTTCATATGATTTCCACCTCTTTCCACTTACTTTACGTCCTTCAATCTCATCTTTGATCTTGAGTGAAATCATCCCCTGCAGGACTGTGAGTTGCTTCCAGAGGATTTGGAAAAACTGGTCAAGTCTTACAAAGCCGTGGTCCAGTTGGAGCTTGGCGAGGAGTTCCCAGAGGATCCAAAAGCGCAGCTTTGGGGAGCCGTTGGTGCAGTCTTCAATTCCTGGATGAATCAGCGTGCAAAGACGCACAGGCACTTGGTTATCCAAAGATTCAAACATTTCAAACATGTTAAAACTTCAAGAAAGAACCAAACCTTACACTCCCTTAAAAGATACGTGTGTCAAGCTTGAAGAGTCATGGATGATTTGGTTTCCACTTACCCATGCAATTCTCTGTGGGGTTGGTGATGAATCTAGCCAAGGTTCTCTGTGTATTGGTCGCGTGAGTTTGTTGAATGTCCGTGTTTCAACATAACCCGCAATATCTTTTCCATCTGTTTTCCATGGAAAGAAACGAACATGAGACTAAGATTCGTTACATACGTTTGTATCCTCTTGTGATGGTTTGGCGAGGTCCTTGCACGACATCCCGGAGTGGTGGGGCACCGCTGTGAACGTGCAAGCCATGGTCTTCGGAAACATGGGCAATGACTGTGCCACTGGTGTTGCTTTCACTCGTGATCCTTCCACAGGAAAGAACGAGTTCTACGGTGAATTTTTGGTAAATGCTCAGGGTGAAGATGTCGTCGCAGGCATCCGCACTCCGCAAGAGCTTACCATCAGGGCTCGCCAGTCTCATGGCTCCGATTTACCATCCTTGGAAGAAGTGATGCCAAACATCTTCCGCGAGTTGCTCTCAGTGCGCAGCCAGCTCGAGACTCACTACAAGGACATGCAAGATATCGAGTTTACCATCCAACAAGGCAAACTCTACATGTTGCAGACCCGCAATGGCAAGCGAACAGCTCCTGCTGCCCTGCAGATTGCTGTGGACATGGCCAATGAAGGCTTGATCACCAAGTCGCAAGCCCTTCTGAGTTTGAAGCCAGATTTGATCGACCAGCTCTTGCACCCTACTCTGGACCCCAAGGCCAAGAAGGAGATCATTGCCAAGGGCCTTCCTGCCTCTCCTGGTGCAGCGGGTGGCAAGGTTTCTTCGATCAAAACATGACCAGCCTTTACCTTGCAATGGGTTGATGAGACATGTGATCAATTGATATCAATTGGTTGGGTCTTTGATTTCTATTGTTGACCTTTCATTTAGCCAAGATATCCAGCCCACCCCCGTGTCTTTTTATTTTTACTACGTACACCTCCCTTGTGTGATTCTGATTTGAGATGTCGAGTTTGGACGGGTAGCTGAGGTTGTCTTCTCGGCTGATGAAGCTGTGCGACGATGCAAAGATGGCGAAAAGGTGATCCTGGTTCGTATTGAGACAAGCCCAGATGACATCCACGGTCTGCATGCGGCAGAGGGAGTTCTGACCACCAGAGGCAGGGTTCTCTGGAACTGCCTAAAATAATCTAAAGAGTGTATGGGCTTCGTGAAACCAGCAAAAATTCTGGAGAAGACAATGCAAAGTAAGACAATGCAACGTGGTGTTTGTGAAACTGCAACGAATTTGATTTTGACCGCTGACAGGTGGTATGACCAGCCATGCGGCAGTGGTTGCTCGTGGAATGGGACGGCCATGTGTGGCTGGTGCGGGCAGCATCACTGTGGACTATGCAGCGGCCAAGCTCACTGTGGGATCTGTGACTGTGACTGAAGGACAGATCCTCACCATCGATGGAAGCAAAGGAGAGGTGATGGTGGGAGAGGTTCCAACAGTGCTTTGGCGGCATATGTCGAACGATTTCTGATTTATGTTTGTTAAATGTTAGTGATGCTCAAGGATGTTCAAGGATGTTCAAGGATGTTCAAGGATGTTCAAGGATGTTCAATGTTGTTCAATGAAACCCAATCTTTTGCTTCAGTTTGAGCTCCGTCCTTTCCAACTTACCCCACATTTGAGGTGCCACCACAGCTTTCCGGATCCTTCGGAACCATCATGCAGTGGGCTGATGAAGTCCGTGACATGAAAGTCGTGAGCTCAGCAGAAGCTTCCACTCATCCTGATGCACTTCGAGTTGCAAAGCAAGTTTGCAGATTTCGTGTGACCATCACGTGACCCTGATGTTGATTGATGTGCTGATTTGCTTCATCGTTTCAGCATGTTTCGGTGATACATCATATAATCTGAGGTCCGAGCCAATGCCGAGACCCCTGCTGATGCTCGACAAGCCAAGGAATTCGGTGCCGAGGGCATTGGCCTTGTCCGCACTGAGCACATGTTCTTCGAAGGACAGCGAATTGTAGCCATGAGGCAGATGATCTTGGCCACTGATGAGGCTGATCGACGACAGGCCTTGGACAAGTTGTTGGTCATGCAGAGGGAGGACATCACGGAACTGTTCCGAATCATGGATGGCAATCCAGTGACGGTCCGTCTGTTGGATCCACCGCTGCATGAATTCATCCCCCACACGGAGGCAGAAATGGCATTGGTGGCCAAAGCTGCAGGTGTACCTTTGGATCGCGTGAGAAGACGTGCTGCAGAGCTGCAGGAGGCCAACCCCATGCTTGGCCATCGTGGCTGCCGATTGGCCATCACCTATCCCGAGATTTGCGAGATGCAGGCACGAGCCATTTTTGAGGCTGCAGCTGAAGTGGGGCGAAGCTCCAAGAAATTGCCAGTGGCAGAAGTCATGGTGCCACTTGTGGCAACAGTTGAAGAACTGAAGCTGTTGAAGGGTGTCATTGAGAAGACTGCCGATGCTGTGAAGAAGGAGCAAGGAATCACTTTCACCTACAAGATTGGCACTATGATCGAGCTTCCACGTGCAGCCCTGCAAGCGGGCCGTTTGGCAGAAATGGCTGAGTTCTTCAGCTTTGGCACCAATGACTTGACCCAGACCACCTATGGCTTGAGCCGAGATGATGCTGGCTCCTTCTTGCCAGAGTACAAGGCCAAGGGTATTGTCGAGCACGATCCTTTTGTGAGCTTGGATCCTGAAGGTGTTGGTGAGTTGATCACCATGGCCGTTCAGCGTGGTCGTAGCACCAGGCCAGAAATGAAGATGGGCATTTGCGGTGAGCACGGCGGAGATCCAGCCTCCATTGAGGTCTGCGAGAAGATCGGCCTGGACTACGTGAGTTGCTCGCCCTTCAGAGTTCCTGTTGCACGACTCGCAGCAGCTCAGTCTGCTCTGAAGACAAAGGGTGAGCAGACAAAGCAGAGCTCCACAAAGGCAACCAAGCCTCGGGTGCAGAATTTTGGCCCTTGGTGAGCTAGAAATTGGCATGTGCAGATTGTGCAGATTGCGCAGATTTGAAAACTGTTTAAATTCGGTTTGATCAATTTAGATCGTCGTCATGCGTGACACACTTCTTGTCATTGTAGTTTGTACCAAGTACATGCACAAGGCATGGGCTGACAACAAGTCACCAAAAGCCGTTTCTGCGAGCACCATTTTGGCAACGAGGAATTTCGTTCTGTTGCTGTTTCGTGCTTGCATTTAAGAGATTTCAAAGAAGGTGCTGCAAGGAACTTCCAACAGGAAGGTTTGTGGCTTTACTCGACCAAAAAAGGGTATGATGCAAGCAGCAGTGGCGGAAGGCTGTGCATTTTTTCCTGTATTTTTTTCCAGACTTTTCCTGATTTTCTTTCCAGGGAAGCACCGAGACTGAGTGAAAGTCTTTCATGATCCATGATGTAGAACCAATCACTTTGACTGCCGCACCGACTTTGGTGAACATATGTCAAATCATTTCATTTGCTGAGTCACGTCACTTGAGCCATGAGCCAATAAGGTGCTTGCAGCTGCATTTGAGGCTGAAGAGTTCAGAAAGTAGCCCTTGGCTTTTGCGTTCGCCATGGCAAAGTGGGTTTACGACTTCGGAGATGGCAAGGCGAGATATTTTTTGAAGATGATGAGAGATGTGACACTGTGAGGGTTGATGACCTAGCCTCAAAAGATCGAGTCTTTACATGTCTAAGATTCTTAACCAAGTTAGAGGTTTCTGGATTTCGATGCCCACTTTTTTGACAAACTCTTTTGGCTGCAAAGCTAATCTCGTGCTGGTTTTGAGGCCGACGGTCGGGCAGACATGAAGAATCTCCTCGGAGGAAAAGGTGCAAATCTCGCTGAAATGGCCTCCATCGGATTGCCTGTGCCGCCCGGATTCACTCTCACCACAGAGGTCTGCACTCACTTCTACCAGAACGACTGCCAGTATCCTAAGGAGCTTGAACAACAGGCGCTTCTGACCGACAGACGGTCGTTTGCTTTTTTCTCGCCACGGTGTGTGCAGGTTGTGATTTGAGATTAACTTGAGACATGAGTGACGGCAAAGACATGTGTTCTCTTGCCGCGGTGCATCAAATAAGATATGGTAACGACATTTAAATATGTGGAGGGCAGGCGAGACCACAAGATCCACAAGGCCCCGGAGGTAGTATGAAATACCAGTTCCATCCATTTATTTAAATGTATGTTTAAATAAATTGGATTCCGTATGTTTGAAGCATTCGAAGTTCATCCTGGTTCAGGTGGAGAAAGCATTGAATTTGGTCGAGAGCCGCACTGGACGCAAATTCGGTGACTCCACGAACCCACTGCTCGTGTCCGTGCGCTCTGGGGCACGTGCATCCATGCCAGGACACTGGTCGAATGAACATCTTGGCAAGAGATTCTCTTTCGTACTGAGTATATCCAGTTGGATGAAATTACAGAGAAACCGTACTTGGAAATGGATTCTTCAAGATTCTTCGTGTTTTTCTTCTCTTTCCCTGGACTTCATTCTACAGTATTGTATTGGCTCTTTGAAGGAAATAAATGAAACCAGAGTTGCACATGCCGTGCTTGCAACAGATGACAGGAATGATGGATACAGTCCTGAATTTGGGACTCAACGACACGACAGTGGAGGCTTTGGCCAAGAAGTCCGGTGACCGTCGCTTTGCCTTTGACAGCTACAGACGCTTTGTGCAGATGTATTCGGACGTTGTCCTTGGCATTGAGATCAACCACTTCGAGAAGCACTTGGAGCGTGCGAAAGAGAAGCGCGGCGTCAAGCAGGAGAATGGGTTGGAAGGGTCGGAACCGTGTTTTTTATGGTCTTGTCGCTATGGCAAGACTTTCTCTTTTTGTTTTTGTGTGGACTCTTGGACTTTTCTTGGGGTGACCGCTGACCTCGCGACTTTCATATGATTTCCACCTCTTTCCACTGACTTTACGTCCTTCAATCTCATCTTTCATCTTGAGTGAAATCATCCCCTGCAGGACTGTGAGTTGCTTCCAGAGGATTTGGAGAAGCTGGTCAAGTCTTACAAAGCCGTGGTCCAGTTGGAGCTTGGCGAGGAGTTCCCAGAGGATCCAAAAGCACAGCTTTGGGGAGCCGTTGGTGCAGTCTTCAATTCCTGGATGAATCAGCGTGCAAAGACGTACAGGCACTTGGTTATCCAAAGATTCAAACATGTTAAAACTTCAAGAAAGAACCAAACCTTACACTCCCTTAAAAGATACGTGTGTCAAGCTTGAAGAGTCATGGATGATTTGGTTTCCACTTACCCATGCAATTCTCTTTGGGGTTGGTGATGAATCTAGCCAAGGTTCTCTGTGTATTGGTCGCGTGAGTTTGTTGAATGTCCGTGTTTCAACATAACTTGCAATATCTTTTCCATCTGTTTTCCGTGGAAAGAAACGAACATGAGACTAAGATTCGTTACATACGTTTGTATCCTCTTGTGATGGTTTGGCGAGGTCCTTGCACGACATCCCGGAGTGGTGGGGCACCGCTGTGAACGTGCAAGCCATGGTCTTCGGAAACATGGGCAATGACTGTGCCACTGGTGTTGCTTTCACTCGTGATCCTTCCACAGGAAAGAACGAGTTCTACGGTGAATTTTTGGTAAATGCTCAGGGTGAAGATGTCGTCGCAGGCATCCGCACTCCGCAAGAGCTTACCATCAGGGCTCGCCAGTCTCATGGCTCCGATTTACCATCCTTGGAAGAAGTGATGCCAAACATCTTCCGCGAGTTGCTCTCAGTGCGCAGCCAGCTCGAGACTCACTACAAGGACATGCAAGATATCGAGTTTACCATCCAACAAGGCAAACTCTACATGTTGCAGACCCGCAATGGCAAGCGAACAGCTCCTGCTGCCCTGCAGATTGCCGTGGACATGGCCAATGAAGGCTTGATCACCAAGTCGCAAGCCCTTCTGAGTTTGAAGCCAGATTTGATCGACCAGCTCTTGCACCCTACTCTGGACCCCAAGGCCAAGAAGGAGATCATTGCCAAGGGCCTTCCTGCCTCTCCTGGTGCAGCGGGTGGCAAGGTTTCTTCGATCAAAACATGACCAGCCTTTACCTTGCAATGGGTTGATGAGACATGTGATCAATTGATATCAATTGGTTGGGTCTTTGATTTCTATTGTTGACCTTTCATTTAGCCAAGATATCCAGCCCACCCCCGTGTCTTTTTATTTTTACTACGTACATCTCCCTTGTGTGATTCTGATTTGAGATGTCGAGTTTGGACGGGTAGCTGAGGTTGTCTTCTCGGCTGATGAAGCTGTGCGACGATGCAAAGATGGCGAAAAGGTGATCCTGGTTCGTATTGAGACAAGCCCAGATGACATCCACGGTCTGCATGCGGCAGAGGGAGTTCTGACCACCAGAGGCAGGGTTCTCTGGAACTGCCTAAAATAATCTAAAGAGTGTATGGGCTTCGTGAAACCAGCAAAAATTCTGGAGAAGACAATGCAAAGTAAGACAATGCAACGTGGTGTTTGTGAAACTGCAACGAATTTGATTTTGACCGCTGACAGGTGGTATGACCAGCCATGCGGCAGTGGTTGCTCGTGGAATGGGACGGCCATGTGTGGCTGGTGCGGGCAGCATCACTGTGGACTATGCAGCGGCCAAGCTCACTGTGGGATCTGTGACTGTGACTGAAGGACAGATCCTCACCATCGATGGAAGCAAAGGAGAGGTGATGGTGGGAGAGGTTCCAACAGTGCTTTGGCGGCATATGTCGAACGATTTCTGATTTATGTTTGTTAAATGTTAGTGATGCTCAAGGATGTTCAAGGATGTTCAAGGATGTTCAATGTTGTTCAATGAAACCCAATCTTTTGCTTCAGTTTGAGCTCCGTCCTTTCCAACTTACCCCACATTTGAGGTGCCACCACAGCTTTCCGGATCCTTCGGAACCATCATGCAGTGGGCTGATGAAGTCCGTGACATGAAAGTCGTGAGCTCAGCAGAAGCTTCCACTCATCCTGATGCACTTCGAGTTTCAAAGCAAGTTTGCAGATTTCGTGTGACCATCACGTGACCCTGATGTTGATTGATGTGCTGATTTGCTTCATCGTTTCAGCATGTTTCAGTGATACATCATATAATCTGAGGTCCGAGCCAATGCCGAGACCCCTGCTGATGCTCGACAAGCCAAGGAATTCGGTGCCGAGGGCATTGGCCTTGTCCGCACTGAGCACATGTTCTTCGAAGGACAGCGAATTGTAGCCATGAGGCAGATGATCTTGGCCACTGATGAGGCTGATCGACGACAGGCCTTGGACAAGTTGTTGGTCATGCAGAGGGAGGACATCACGGAACTGTTCCGAATCATGGATGGCAATCCAGTGACGGTCCGTCTGTTGGATCCACCGCTGCATGAATTCATCCCCCACACGGAGGCAGAAATGGCATTGGTGGCCAAAGCTGCAGGTGTACCTTTGGATCGCGTGAGAAGACGTGCTGCAGAGCTGCAGGAGGCCAACCCCATGCTTGGCCATCGTGGCTGCCGATTGGCCATCACCTATCCCGAGATTTGCGAGATGCAGGCACGAGCCATTTTTGAGGCTGCAGCTGAAGTGGGGCGAAGCTCCAAGAAATTGCCAGTGGCAGAAGTCATGGTGCCACTTGTGGCAACAGTTGAAGAACTGAAGCTGTTGAAGGGTGTCATTGAGAAGACTGCCGATGCTGTGAAGAAGGAGCAAGGAATCACTTT